TTCGATAGCCAAACGTACAGTTAGAGCACAACTACTATGATATAAATACATATTTTGGCAATAAAATATCACCAAATCGGCAAAATTCCCAAGAAAGGGAAACCAGATTTGGACAACTGTACGTGTATTAAGTGAAACATTCGTTGATTTCATTTGACTACTGCCTAAAAGCTTGTTCATGTTTGGGCATTAGCATGCATCCCTAGTTCCAGCTTTATTACATAAGTGCTCAGTTAAGGAAGTTATTTATTGTACCATCTCCATACAGTCCATAACTATTCGCTCACTGGCCAAGCTGTGAAAATCTCGATCACAGTAAGACGCGATTCCGCCACAGAAAGGATGACGTTCAAGTACAGTCGATGTCTTAAGTTCCTAGGATTTGAAACCTCAACATCTTAAGCGGTCTTGTCTTTAGTCCCCATATAACTTGAAAAGGTATAAAGCGTAACAGATCATTACTTAACCTTTCCTTTGTGTCAAATTGCCTTTTTGCATGGGTCGACTAGAGGGCCATGACATGCAATGACTTGCTTGTTTCCATACCCGATTGAAGCAGTCCTCTTTCTAGCAAATTTTAGGGCTTTTTAATAATCTTATGTGTTCTTCAGAAATAAAAGTCACCGTTTGTTAACGAGGATTTTCCTCTGTGTCGCGTTAGGTCTTAAATACAAGTATCATCTGTAACAAGTTAAAGATCGATTTTTTTTGAACGACGGGCCAGTACGCCGAGAACGGCTGTCACATACTTGCGAGCGGCATGCATTATCAGCCATTCAGTGGGAGAGAAATGACTGGCGAAGACTCGGAAAACAACTTGGAACCTGGGCACTCAAAGTCCTCCTCTTGGTGGAACACACTGCAAGCTTATCTTGAGGAAGCTGTTAACGACGACAACCAGTGCGCACAGGAAGACCTGAATCTCCGAGAGCAAATTGAATATGCCAACCAATCAAATTCTGGGCTAGTTCCGGAGGCTTTTAGGGAAGATGTATCAAGGGTCAGTAACACCGAAAAGCGTCGGTCAACCCAGTCGTACAAAAGTGAACAGGAAATGTACGCAATGTTATGCAAGTTGGAACAACCGTCTTGTTGCACTATGCGTCTTCGAGAAATATATCACTGTTTGACAAACCACTGTTGTAACTTTGATGTTAAAGTGTTCTACGAAAAGCCTATTCTCTGGCATACACCGGCTGCGACATTACAGATAGGATTTCTAATACGAGAGAATGTCTTGGGAATAATTGCTGGCCTTATAATCGGTTTCATGGCATTCGCCGTTTTTGTTATGTCATTTGGACACGCTCCGCACATCGCAACTCTTGCCAGTTGTTATGTCATGCTGTTCGCAGTGTTCGGCATCTCCTTCTCGCAGAATGTACGATGTGTTTTTATGCTTATATTACCCTA